GGGGGGGGGGGGCTTGCTTGGCCCCCCAGGGGACGTACCTTGTAGTCCATCTGCTCAGAGCAGTTGAAGACGTACACCATGGTGCCCAGGGCCCTGCCCAGGTCCTTCGTGGTCTCTGTCTTGCCCGTCCCCGCTGGGCCAGCAGGGGCTCCACCCATGATCAGGTGGAGGGACTGGGTCAAGGTTATGTAGCACCTGCAAGGGACCCCTGCTTAATTTCTACACCAGCACCCCACGGCCGTCACTTTCCTCTCCTGTGGCTTCAGGGGCACCCGCTCGGCCCCCCAGGTAGGGGAGGGCTTGCGATGTGACGGAGGAGCCAGCACCGTGCCTGGTCCTAAGCGTCACCATGTTCCCCGAGGTTTGCTCTGGGCGGTGCCGCTCCAAGCACTCTTTGCTGCTAAATGATTCGCTCCATCTTCGACAAGCTCACAGTATCCCCACTTCGCAGGCCCTCAGAGAGGTCAAGCAGCTCCCCTGAGGCCACACAGCTGGCCCTGGAGCGAGGGAGTGAGAACCCCGCGCCCGAGGATGGGCTCTGGGCAGGTGGCTCCAAACGTGGGCCCCCCCCCCGGCCCGAACGCCAGGCTCTTTTGGCCTCAGCAGGACATTCGGGTCAGGATCCGGAGAATGGTGGGGAAGGGCCCACGGGAAGCCCGGGCCTCCTTTCCCGGGCGGTTCGGGCTCAGGCGCGGTGGCCCCGGGACGCAGGGGCCGGGCGTCCGCACCTGTCGGTGAGCGGGGTGATGACCAGCCTGGGCGTGTTGCCCAGGTACTCGTACGAGTACTGGATCTGGGCGTCGCAGATGTTGGCGAAGCAGTGCCTCTTCTCTTCATCCCAGCGGTGCCGGAGCTGCGACTGCCAGGTGAAGGCCTGGGAGCTCTCCACCTGCAGGGCCACCGAGGCCGGCCTGTCACCGGGCTGCCCGGGGCCCAGGCCATGCTCCCGCCCCCCTCCTCCTCCAGTGCAGGGGTGAGTCCCAGGGAGGGCTGAGGGGAGTGGCCTCCCAGGAAGGGGCGGCAGTGGGGGGCCGGAGCCCCCCCCACCAGATGCCAGGCCCCAGGCCCGTCCCCGGCCCTCCCCAGCGGTTCCCTGCCCGCCCCCGGCCCGCACCTTGGCTGCGATCATCTTGGCCACCACGTCCCGCGCGTGCACGTCGATGGTGCAGATGGTCATGATCTTCATCCGGTCGCCGGCGCTGAGGTTCCCAATGAGCAGGGTGATCAGCACGTTCAACTGGCTGATCTGCAGGAGCGAAGGCCCTTCGCTGGGACACCGGGCGGCGCCTGCCGCGCCCTGGCTGGTCCCCGGGAGCTGCCCACCCACCGCGCCCGGGTTCCCGAGAACGAAACGCAGGGGGGACGTTCACACCGGCCCCCAACGGGGGGTGGGGTGGCTGCGGAGCGGCCCCTGGCAGACGCCGCGAAGCCACTAAAAATGGTGTGGTAGAAGGAGACCCGGTGCCGTGGAAGGTGTGGACGTTAAGAGAAAACTGGGTTTTAAAGCATTGGAAAACAAAAACCAAAAAATGTCATTAAAAAATAGGCCGTTGGATGTATATTTTTGCATGTGAGTCAATTATATGAATCCCACAAGATTACAATAACAATATTATATGTTTAACATATATAATACAATAATATTATTAAAGTAATATTATTTTATATATTCTATATAAAAGTAATACTATTCTATATTATTAAAGTAATACTATTAGAATAATAACAATAGTATTAGCACAATAATTAGCTAATAATGTGTTGCCGGTGGTTATATCTTGGGATGGGTTATGGGTCGTTTTTCTTTTTTCCATTTGAAATTACCTTTGGTATCTAAAATCCTAATCAGGAATCTTTATAAATAGAGTCGCGGTAGCAACTGGTCATTTCCAGACAGGAAAGTAACGTCCTGCCTTGGCAAAGCGGCCCCTGGGGCAGGGCCGCCGGCCTGCGCTAAGGGACCCCCCTGGGGACGTGGCCTCCGTGCCCCGCGGAGTCCCGCAGGGTGCACCCCGCGCACCTGCTTTTTGTTGTAGTCCTTGATGGCGTTCTCGTAACCCTCCTCCAGCCTGGCGAACGCCATGCCCACCTCCGTGGTCCACCAGATCTGCGTGCAGGTGAGCGCCACCTGCGGCGGAGGGCGGCC